CAAGCTGTAAATAAAGTAATGAATAGAAAGAAACACATCCCTCATTAAGGTTTGTAGCTTCTTACTGTTCTTGCTGCTGATTTGTTAACCTCCTATGAATATCAGCATCTGAGTTAATAATCAAAGAAATATTCTGGTCAGAACTTGGTTAGCATTATATTGAACCTGCAGGAGAAGATATTAGCTCCTGCCACAGGCACCGCTGAAAGAGATCCAAATTAGTTTAATGGTCATAGGCCTACAAATGTCAAAAGGTGAGGAGGGCTTCCTTATTGAAGTACAAACTGCTGCAAGGGAAGGCCCAAGCTAAACTGTGGCCCTTATTTCCCTTCATCTTGACTGGGCCAAGGGACAAATCTAGTTGTCACCCATTTATGTTTCCTTGTACAGTCGTACCTTGGCTCCCAAACGCCTTGGGAGTCAAATGTTCCGGCTCCCGAACAATCGAAAACCAGAAGTGAGTGTTCCAGTTTTCAAACGTTCTTTTGGAAGCCGAACATCTGACAGGGCTTCCGCAGCTTCCGATTGGCTGCAGGAGCTTCCTGCAGCCAATCAGAAGTCACACTTGGGTTTTCGAACGTTTCGGAAGTCGAATGATTCTGTTCAACTTCCGATGTACGACTGTATTACACAATCATAGAAAGCTGCTTGATTATATATTAAAGTGAAAAAGAAGCCTTCTCACAGGATTTCACTGTGGGCATTGGAGAGTACTTTGGGGACCAAATTAGACATGATGGTAACAGAGGTATTTAAAGCCATGTGTTCAAATATGGACCTAGCCCAGTCACATAGGAAGTGGGTGGTGGTGGTATGTTTCAACAGCAGATGGGCCACATGGGTAAGGAATGAAAACCTTTCTCCATGACTACTTCTTATGTCCCAGTAGCCCCTCTCCCCCAATGCTTTTGTCTCCATCAAGCATGCTTCCAGCACAGAACATCAGTCGATGAGAAAAGCACCTGGTAGGCAGCCTGTAGGGAGGTAAGCTGAGGATGGAAAGGATTCTACACTCGACACCCATACACCCATTTTGCTGTTAAAATGACCCTCACCTCCCTGTTACAACAGATACAATAGATCTGTTATATAGATATATAGTTCGGCCCTCTTGAGTCTCAGAATAGATCATTAGGAAAAGAAGCCCTATTAGGAAGTTCTAAATGGGGAGAATTACTGTGTCGAGAAAATATTGAGGGAGCAAGTATCAATCAGATCTGTGTGCACAGACTATACATATACAACCTAGATGCATGGCAGCTCTCTGTGTGTGATTGGTGACTCTGAAAAACAGAGCCCACATGAGTACAGTTTGTGCACATGTAAGCTCTGGGCGCACCAGACAGATCTATGCATTGACATCAGAAGACGAGCCTGCTGCGATGATCTCAAGTCTCCTTCCACATATTGATTTCTACCCCATTTATGCTGGTTCCGGGGGGGGGGGGGGCCGAGTCCGGTCCTGGGTCGAGGGTCTGGAGACTATCCACCAAGGGCGAAGCAGGGTCCAAAGCAAGAAGCCGGGCATGGACGGGAACTCCGGAAGAACAGGTCTGGGTGCTGGCAGAAACAGGTTTCCAACGACGTTGCTCCCGCAACCTGGGACTGAGCTGACTGGCCTTTATCTCCTCTGGGGCCTAGGGTGGTCCCAGCCCACAGGTGACTCGCCTCTCCTGGCCTTAAGGCGAGCACTCCTCCTGATAGAACTTAGTTCCCTCCGCCTGTCTACCCTGAGCCTCTGCAGCTCAGGAGAGGCTGGAGGATTACTGGACCCAGAGGCAGCCTCACCTTCCCCTGACAGGGCTGGGAGAGGAGCACCTGCAGGCAATGGGTCCTCAATCACCCCCAGAGCCAGAGTGGATTCATCTGGTGTCTGCTCCTGAGGATCAGGCACAGGTGCGGGCCCTTCCGATTCAAGGCCCTGCCCCGGCTCAGCCGGCCCTGGAGGCGGGGACTCCTGTACAGACTGGGATTCCTCCGGTTCAGCCTTTGAATCAGATTCCTAGGCCATCACACCATTGTATAAATCTGCATGATTTAAGCTTTCCTAATGCATGCATTGAAGGGCCGCGAGCCTAGGGCTTGCCGATCAGAAGGTCGGCAGTTCGAATTCCCACAATGGAGTTGCTCGGTCCCTGTTCCTGCCAACCTAGCAGTTGAAAAGCACATCAAAGTGCAAGTAGATAAATAGGTACCACTCCAGCAGGAAGTTAAACAGTGTTTCCGTGTGCTGCTCTGGCTTGCCAGAAGTGGCTTAGTCATGCTGGCCAAATGACCCGGAAGCTGTACGCCGGCTCCCTCGGCCAGTAAAGCGAGATGAGCGCCGCAACCCCAGAGTCGGCCACGACTGGACCTAATGGTCAGGGGCCCCTTTACCTTTAATGCATGCATCATAGGTTGTACACGTGTGCTATCATGGTAGAGTCATTCTACAGTTTTGTGACCTTCCAGGTGGTGGTGCACTCAGTCATGTGCAGTTGCCTAATGCAAACAATGCATCATCTGTGAGAGTGGATTGTGTTTGGATGGAAAGCTTTTTTCAGTGCTCTGTTTCGTGATTGGCATCTAATGGCACATTCCTTGGAGGCATTTCTTGGCTGTAAGATAAAAGTGCACAACATGTGCCGCCTTTACAGTTAGATTGCAGTGGATAATTAGAGTTGGGAGAAGTGTGCTCACATTTCAATTGGCAAAAGAATTCAAGGAAACACAGCAAATTATTAGATACCATAAGTCAGACATATTTTTAATTAATGAGCTACATGTCATTCCCAGTGCAGACTGCAGGCAGAATCTCACTTCATTTTTTTTTTCAAATCACAGCTCATCTTTAACTAGTCTTCCTAAGTATTCCTAAGTATGTATTTTTAATGTCCTCCTTGATTGTTTCTATCTAGCTCTTTAAGAACAAATCCAGCTGTTAGCAATATTCACTAATTTCCTCAGACTTGAGTGGATTTTGAGAGTTTGAGGTTTAGTCTTTAAATAACTTTGGAGATTAAGCTTCTTAATGGTAATATTCTTTTTTAAGTTTCTATGCTTATCCTGAAATCTTGTAATTGTAAAGCAAGAAGCCTTTAAATTAGTGCAAGCCTCTGGGCCAGAAGTTTATGGTGATGATACAGATCAAGACAAGGCTGTTTTGCCCACTGCTGCTACCAAATTTCCTTATTTAACCATGCATTCACTATCACTTTAAAAATGTAGATTGGTATCTTTCAAAAGGTGTAATTCATGGAAGACGACACTGATGGCTACTAGCCATGATGGCTATGATCTACCCATAGCTGTTAACTGTTCCCTTTTTTTAAGGGAAATTCCCTTATTCCGAATAGGATTCCTCGCAAGGAAAGGGAAAAGTTGACAGCTATGGATCTACCTATTTGGTTAGAGGGAGTAATGCTTAATACCAGTTGCTTGGGTCCTGCTTGTGGGTCTCGCTTTGGCTCATCTAGTTGGTCACTTGTCGGAGCCAGCCGTTACAAATGGCGCAGTTTAGCATAAAATAAAGACACAGAGAGCCAGCAATATTTTCAGGATGGTATGAGCAGCTCCTTTCGAACTTCCCTCTCCTCCTGTAGCTTCTTTATTATCCTTTGTCTCTCTCCAGCCGCATGGCCGTTTGCCAATGTCTCACGTTACCTCATCCGGTCAAGGCTTTTATTGCCCCCATCACCATATAGGGTCATCACTGCCCAGAGGAAACACAACTCCAATACATTCCAATACATTGTAAAGCTCAGAGTGCTGGTCAGCCGAGGTCAGGGGGCACCCTGCAATATTACAAGCCTTTGCCGTGGCTTTATGACTCCCACATGCCCTCTTTCTTTATTTTATTTCAGAGCCATATATATCAGTACCAATACGGTTATATCGAGCGCGATAAGCGACTCTTTGACACCGGAGCGGGCCGCGGACTGGAGAACCATGCAGTACATATAGAAATTAAAGAAGGAATACATTGGATACAGCAACACAAAATAATGCAAATAACTACTATAATGATCACTAAAATCAATAAATGTCGAAGCCAACTTCCATCCGGAAGCCAAGAATATAAGAATTCTGATTCCAAGCTGCATGGTAGGCTTCCTTTCTAGTTTATTAGCCATGCACTGGTGTCACTCCTATAGCACTGAGATTGGTCACTGTATGTTCCTGTAAGAGAACAAGAGCTATTAAAAGTGAAATTCAATGTATATTGACAGTTTGGATATATGCCCCATGATTCTTTCCCCTCTTTAATTTGAAAATAAATGGGGGCAGGCTCATGGAGGGTCAATTGTACTGGAGGCCAAAAAGTTTGCTTAGGGGATATAATATTAGTAAATTGAAAAGATCCATTGACAGGCACACCATGAAGCATTATGCCGGAATGACTGGCATACACACCCAACATTTAGAAGCATGCAATAAACTGGCAAACATAATCATATCTTGTACAAAAATATTATCCCTCCATATCTTATGATAATTTTCTCCCCTAAAAGTCTTATTCAACAACGCTGTTCTTCTAGTTCGAAAGTGGCTGAGCCGTGGATACTGCCAGCCAGAGTAGGAAGCTGACAACAGCTGCTTGCCAGCCGATGAGGTGAAATATGGTGGTTTCAACTGGACTGGTCGTCTGCTTCTCTTCCTTGTATAACGGTGCAGCAAAGGATGGCAAGGCAAATGGTTAGGAAGGCAAACACTGCCAGATGCAGCTCGTGTGCAGCACCTCTAGGTGGCGCATGCGGAAAGGTTTCAATGCTTCACCCACAAAATGTTGACAAAGTGTAGGGGAGTTCCGCATGCCTTGAGGCAGGACAACCCACTGATATCGCTGGGTGGGCTGCGAATTGTTATATACTGGCAATGTAAAAGCAAACCGTTCCCTGTCTGCTGGAGCCAGTGGGATGAAGATGGTTCAATGTGGCCGAAAGTCAATTGTTCAGAAATAAGCTGGTCAGAGATAGCTGGTGCCGCTGCTGCGGATTTTTCTTTTGGTAGAGGCCACTGTTCTACCCCCACTGGGGTATCGGTGATCCTGGTTTGCCACACTGGAAACAAGTTGTATCGGTGGCTACAGGCTGGTTTTCATTTAGCGCTGCTGCCAGCAGATGAGCCTTGTGGGTGGCTGTAGCTACAGACTGACAAATGCGAAGCATGGCTGCTGTGTCTGTGGCAGGATTGTGTATTATCGGTCGTAATGCAACCTTACAATCCTCATTGGCATTTTCAAAGGCCAATTGTTTGATAATTATTTGTTTGGCTTCAGGATTTTCAATTTGGCGACTCACTGCTGTAAGCAGCCTATCCATAAAGGAAGAATATGATTCTCTTGCCTCTTGCCTGATTGAACCCCACCTTGATTGAATACTGGTGGGTTCTGGGATTTTTCTCATTGCTTGTTTAGCAGCAAGAGCAGTGTCCCTCAATAAGATTTGCAGCAGTGTGGCTTGCACTGAAGCTTGAGCGAAGGGACCACGCCCCAACATGGCATCTGTGACGTCTGCGAGGGTAACATTTGGATTATTTCCTCTGACTTGTTGTAACAAGGCTGGAGCATAAGCACGGCAGGCAGTTTCCCATTCGTGGGCAAACAAAACACCAGCTGATGGGGGTAACACTGTATGGGCCAAAAGCTTGATGTCCTCTGGAACCAAGAGCTGGGCTAATGTGGCTTCTAAAAGCGCCTGCGTATATGGGGCTTGGAGTCCATTGGCCTTTACTGACTGTTGCAGCTCTCTCAAGATCTTAAAGTCAAAAGGTTGGTGTTGGGCTTGGGTGCCTGCTGGGGCACCAGCAGGGGGCACAATAACAGGGAATGCCATAGTATCCTGAATTAAGGAACAGGCAAGGACTGCACGTTGAAAAGGTTCTGGTTCTGGTTCTGCCGCTGAAAGAGCAGGATCATTGCCAGCCAGACCACGGTATTTTTGCAGGATTGGGTCCTCAGGTGAGGAACTGTAGTCCGGAGGTTTGGGGTCTGGAGCTGCTGGCAAAGCAAGTATTGGAACAGATGGCAGCACAGCAGGCTGAATTAAAGAAGCTGAAGGTTGTGTTGGCAATGCAGCCATGGAGATATTTTTTGGTGATAAAGAGCCCATGGCGTAACGAACCTTGCACCATGCATTTAGAATCCGAACACCTATGCTGGGGTGCCCATGAAAATGTGCCCCAATCTTGTCCCAAAGTTTTAATTCCCAAGTCCCATCTGCAGGAAACCGGGGGAATGCTCTTCGATGGCCAGAATGAGCTGTATTAAATCACCCTCCGGAACTTCCAATTTGTTGGAGGAGAGGAGAAATTTTAAGTCTTTTAAAAAATTCTGTTTGGGAGCAGACAAAGAGCTGCCCATTTTTCTAAAATCAATATTAAAAAAAGGGATCGAAACTCACCGGGATCTTTTTAAGATGATTTAGCGCTATGGAATCCTTGCCGGGCGTGGTGAGCCGATGATATCCTTTGCTTGGATCGAAAAACCTCACACGGTTTCCTTTTAAAATCCTCTTAGTCTGCCTCAGACTGTTTTCTTTAAGTTGCCTCACACGGTTTTCTTTTAAAAGCCTCAGACGTATTCTTTTATTCAGCCTCACACGGGGCACCACTTGTCGGAGCCAGCCGTTACAAATGGCGCAGTTTAGCATAAAATAAAGACACAGAGAGCCAGCAATATTTTCAGGATGGTATGAGCAGCTCCTTTCGAACTTCCCTCTCCTCCTGTAGCTTCTTTATTATCCTTTGTCTCTCTCCAGCCGCATGGCCGTTTGCCAATGTCTCACGTTACCTCATCCGGTCAAGGCTTTTATTGCCCCCATCACCATATAGGGTCATCACTGCCCAGAGGAAACACAACTCCAATACATTCCAATACATTGTAAAGCTCAGAGTGCTGGTCAGCCGAGGTCAGGGGGCACCCTGCAATATTACAAGCCTTTGCCGTGGCTTTATGACTCCCACAGTCACTGTGAGAGTAGGATCTGGCAGCTTCTTCTTATGTTCCTTTGGAAAGGGCTTTTGATACAGTGGGCATCTCTACTAATGGAAGGGGTGGGGATACGCCCCCCCTGATTTGTCCTTCTCCTTGCAGGTCCCCAGACCACTACCCACTGTTCTGGAAAACATCCAGCTTTCTGGACATGATTTTTGAGGGGTGATGGAGGTTGCAACAACAACAACAAAAATCAAACCACTTGTTCACATTAAATTAGCAGAGGCATCAGTTGGCTCAAAAGAAGATTAAAAGCCCTTCCATGAGTGCAAAGGGCACCATCTAGAATCCGTTCAAAATTTATAAGCAAAATACATTAAACATTAAACCTATTCTTTAAATTCCAGATTTTTAAAAAATGGACAAAACCCCCACTGGAACAGCAAGGTAGGAGATACAGTATGTAGCCATATATATTTCTGCTATAGCTCCAGATTTGCATGTAGCCCTTTTCGTATCAGTCAGAGCCAGTCATTGTCCTTCATCAACATGAGGCCAGGAAATGAGCAAATGTGGAGCAGTGGAATAAAAATCTCCAGATGCACTGATGGCAACACATCCAATAGTCTCTTGTATGTAGACCAGGGAAGGGCTTATGGTCAGCGACAGAGGGTTGCATGATCCAACAAAGGTGTTCTATGCACACAAGAACTTCCATTTGCACAGCAGAACTGCCCCCCCCCCAAATCTGCTCCAGAAAGTTGGGAGGTCAGCAGAACAGATCTGGAGATATACAGAGGGAGAGGAGGACAGGGAAGTTCTACTGCACAAGGTGAAGTTCATTGGATACAACCAGCGCCAGATTTAGGTTTGAAGGTAATGGGGCCCTTTATATGTCCAGCTGTCCTTTGTCAACAACAAATTGTCACTTTTTTGTGTTGAATATATGCTATATGGTAATTTATGGACCTAATAGGTATCTAAAGCCATTTGCACATAACAAAATATGTATTTTATCAAAATAATTGATATAGAAATGAGCAAACCAGTGATTTTTTTAGGGAGCAGGCTAGCAGGTGGGGCACATTACTTAACTGATAGGAGCCTACACAACACAAAATACTGTTGCTGTATGTAGGTTTTATTTTATTTGGTTTTTATGTTATATTTTGGAAATGTACATCCAGGGGTTTTTTTCTTTAATTTTTTTTGGGGGGGCCAAGAGAGTGGGCCCCAAGCTATAGCTTGTTTAGCTTATACGTAAATCCGGCACTGGATACAACCCAGAGCTCATACTTTTCATGCAGAACTTTCTTGATTTCCCCTTAGTTTGGTCTGCATTTACTTATTTATTTGTTTGTTTATCAACTACCCTCCATGAATTAGATATCAGTGCAGTATGCAAAATAAGACCAGTTTAATAAGCTCCAGCACAGCACAGCTGGGAAAGATCTCTGCACAGGAGCAGAGAAAGGTGCTGTCAGAGAAAAGATAGGTTCGACCGATCAGTTGTCTGATTCCATATAATATATATGATATATTTAATGTATGTATGTATGTATGTAGGTGTCAGGGAACTGCCATCGGAAGGAAGGGAGGTGAAAGGACTCAGACAGGGTGGAAGAGACTCAGCAGCTGAAGAGGGAACCAGCAAGGGGAGAGAAGCTGAACTGAGGGAAAGGGAGCTGGGGGGCTGGCTCAGAGATACTTCCAGCGAAAACAGTGGTGAGGTTTCCGGACCTCCTGTAGGGACACCCACTCCTCGCCGGAAACTGTCACGCAGAGAGTCCAGAAGACGTGTTTCCGTTAAGGAGCTTTTATGTTGGAAGCGATTACGAAAGCAACCACTGTCGGAATCTTCTAGTGACTAGAGGAGCCATGTCAGAGGGGCTCCGTCACAGACAGAGGTTTGTGGACTTGAACAAACACTGAGGGAATACGATTTTACGCACAAGCAGCTCATCTTCCCATCACAGCATTCCGACAGTCTCTGAACGCAGCTTGTGCAGGAGAAGGCATAATGAGCAACCCAGCAGGAACCGGAGAAGCAGGGGCTGGAGCGGGTCCAAGCCTGGAAGAAAGGTACCGGGTGTTGGAGGTCCAGCTGGCGCTGCAGACGGCGAGGCTGGAGGAGAGGAGGGCTCAAGATGCAGACAAAGGGAGAAAGCCACCCAGCTCGCCAGAAAGGTACCAGGATTGGTGCAGAAATTTGGGGGGGAGCCCAAAGACTATCATAGCTTTCGGACAGAAATGCAATATGCCCTCAATCTGCAGTTTGATGATTTCCCTGATGAGGAATCACGAGTGGCTTTTGTGATTGGGCATCTTGAAAAGGGGGCGAGAGACTGGGTTAGACCCCTGATGGCAGCGCATAGTGACGTCCTAAAGGACACGATGAAGTTCTTTCGCGCCATGGATCTGATGTTTTCCAGCGATATTGAAAAGGGAGTGGTGCGCAGACAGTTAATGGCTTGCAAACAGGGGAGCCGATCTGTACGTGAGTACTGGACTGAGTTCACCATGCTGATACACAGATTGGGGTGGGACTTATCGGCGGAACCCATTCAAATGCTCTTTGAAGAAGGGCTTTCTTCGGCTGTGAAAGATGAACTTTCCCGGGCGCCCAGGGCGGAGTCTATGGACCAGCTGACCAAATCAGCGCTGGCCATAGGAGCGCGCCAGGAGGCGAGAGCATTGGAGAGGCGGGAAGGGAAAGGGGAACGTTGGAAGGAGTTCCGCATTCCAGACATTCCAGAGCCAACTTTCCCGCCGGCAGAGCCGATGGAAATCGGAACAGCGCGCGCGCGCAGTTTCAAAGCCCAGTGAGGGGGAAAAAGGAGGGAAAAGGCGCCCGGAAATGCTATCTCTGCCAACAGCCAGGGCACTTTGCCAGAGTCTGCCCCCAGAGGAAGGAATGGCAAGGGATGGTGGGAGCTGTGGAACGCCTGGCTGCCATTGTCGGGGCACAGCAGCCAGGCCAAAGAGCAGTGAAAGTGCCCACGCCAGAACCTCCTAAACCCGCCCTAGTGATAGAAGTGACACTAGAGCTGCCAAACGGACACCCTCTAAAGATAAAGGCGCTGTTGGACTCAGGCAGCTCCTGCAATTTCATGAGCAAAGAGTTTGCAGCTGAACACCAGATACAGACGCTACCTTTAAGCAACCCCTGCAGGTAACCACGATCGATGGCAGGGAGCTGTTGGGAGGAGAAGTCAGCTTGCAGACCGTCCCAATGATAATGAAGGTGGCAAGGCACACCGAACTAATAGCTTTTAATGTGGCCACCTTGGGAGGAGCTCCCATTATATTGGGGATGAGCTGGCTAGCGTTACATGATCCGCTGGTGGGCTGGCATCAAAGAGTGGTTTCTTTTGGGTCAGCACATTGCTTAGAACACTGCAAAGAGGGAAAGGTTTTGGCAGGGGCCCAAGCCACCCTAGCAGGGACTGAAGTAACGGAGAACGTGAAGGTACCACGACAATACGCAGATCTCCGCGACGTCTTCAGCGAAAGGGAAGCTGACCAACTACCACCGCATAGAGCCTTTGACTGTCAAATCAATTTGCTCCCTGGGGCACAGCTCCCTGTGGGCAAGCTGTACGCCATGTCAGACAGAGAGATGCAGGAGCTAAGAGAGTTCATTGACAAGAACCTGAAGAGAGGGTTCATCAGAGAGTCCAGGGCGGTGGGGGCAGCCCAGTGTTTTTGTGGACAAAAAAACACGAACAAGCCGAGACTGGTGTGTGACTTCAGGGCCTTAAATGCAGTGTCAGAACCAGTGGCCTTCCCGATGCCCAGGATTGACGACATTTTGACAAGGGTGCGGAAGGGAAAGATTTTCACCAAGCTGGATCTAAGGGGGGCGTACAACCTGATACGAATAAGGAAGGGGGATGAATGGAAAACCACCATGTTCACCCCTTTAGGGGCATTTGAATACTTAGTTATGCCCTTCGGTCTACAAGCAGGCTCCGCAACATTTCAATCGTTTATGAACCACGTCCTGGGGCCGTTGCTTTACAAGAATTGTGTGGCCTTCTTAGACGACGTGTTGGTGTATTCTGAGAATGAGGAGCAGCATGTGAGAGACGTCAGAGAAGTGTTGAGCAGGCTGCAAGCCAACCAGCTGTGGGTGAAACTGGAGAAGTGTCAGTTTCATACCAAGGAGGTGGAATT